CGCACTATCCAGTGCGCCACCGGGCCGGCCCCTTTAAAAAAAAAAAAAAAAAAAAAAAAAAAGATAAAACCAATAGAACAGGCTGATTTACAGCCTAAAGCCAAAACATCCATCCATCCGTCCATTCATTCATTCATTCATTCATTCATAACTTACTCAACAAAGCTTGTAGAACTAAAATGCACATTAAATTATTCATGGAATACCTACAACGTGCCAGGCACTGTTCAAAAGTTGCTTTTTTTTTTGTAATTTCAGGTCACAACCCACTTTAACTTAAATCGCTGGTTCTCAACTGGGAACAGCTCTGCCCCCTGGAGGATACTTGACGACGTCTAAGGTATTTTTGATTGTTAGGATGGTGGGTGGAGGGGGTCGAATGGCATCTAGTGGCTGGAGGCCAGGGATGCCAGTAAACACCCTGCAGTGCCCGGGATGGCCTCTCCTCCCCCCAAAGAACTTACCAACTCAGAATTTCAACAGTGCCAAGGTTGACAAACCCTAATTTAAATGAAGTGGAATAGACTAAGATAAAATAGAACAGAAATATCAGAGAGCGTTGCTTAAAGGATAAGTAGCATTTCATAAAGCTTTTGTACTTTTGTTTATTCAGACACTATACAAGATGTATTTCCCTTGTGTGTTCTAGTCAGAAAGGTTTAATAAACACTGTTTTAGGGACCACAGAGCTGAAAAAGACAGCAGAACCTCTGGCCTCCTGGAGCTCACATTCCACAGACAATAAAGAAGAAAAGTAATGAATTCATGGAGTTGTTCTGGATGGTGGTAATGTGCAGAAGACAATTAAACAAGGCAAACGTTCTAGAACATGCCTGGGATATTTGCAAAGGCAGTCGGGGAAGGCTTCTCTAAGGGATGATATATGAGCTGAGATTTATGTGTTGGGAAGGAGCTGGACTTCCAACAGAGCAAAGCAAGGACTTTGCGGCTTTGTGGCTGGACTGTTGGTGTGTTTGAGGAACAGAAAACTGCCCAGAGTGGCTGCTGGAACCGAGCAGGGAAGGGAGGGTGGAAGCAGATAAGGGCAGGGGTCAGCAGGGGTGATGGAGAGCCACAGTTCAATTTAGCTTTTCCGATGATCACTCAGGCTGCAGAGTGAAGAAGAGACGGCAAGGCACAGGAACAAGGGTGAAGCTGGGACACACGTTAGGGAGCTATTGGGAGGCCAGGGCATCGGAATGGAGGATGTAGAAGCAGGTAAACTTCGGAGAGGAGGAGCTGATGAAATAGGGAGACAGGGAGGACAGAGAGGAAGACCAGGCAGCAAAGATGGCCCCATGGCAGAGGCTGGGAGCACGGGGGGTTGTGAGGAAGCACCCGGGGAGGAGCTGCAGGGTGGTGGCAGCTGGTGGCCTGGCCTTTCTACCCAGGGTGGGGCAGGAGCTCGGGCCCTGGGGGAACTGGCTGGGCAGGGCCATCCACCTGACTCACAGCAGAAACTGGGACAGCTGCTGGCCACCCACCTCCTTCCCAACTGGAAATAAAGATAAGCTTCCAGACGGCTGGGCACCACCCTCAGCCCAGACACTGGCTCCTCACAATGAGATCCCACCTGCAAGCGTTTGCCTCCATGTGGGCCTTCTGCCTTGGGTGCCTTCAAGGCCTCCTCCAAAGTCCTCCACCTTCACGTCCTTCCCTCCGTCCTGCCTCTGATTCCATAAGGCTGGGAGTGTCTGTGTCCCCCTTTATCTCCCCATCAGACCAGGATCCCTTTGAGAGCACGGAGGATACAAAACTACCCTTACCTAGGGCGCCCAGCATCAAGTGTAGAGTCCAGCACTTAGGCATGATCTGCCTGGTGAACTCCTCCCTATACGTCAAAACCTTGAACCCCCATGATTCTTGATCTAATACATCAATAGCAAATACACGTCAATAGCTAATACAAATTGAGTACTTATTATATTCCTGGACCTTTTCTTTCTTTCTTTTTTTTAAAAGATGACTGGTAAGGGGATCTTAACCCTTGACTTGGTGTTGACAGCACCACGCTCTCCCAAGTGAGCGAACCGGCCATCCCTATATGGGATCCGAACCTGTGGCCTTGGTGTTATCAGCACCGCACTCTCCCGAGTGAGCCACGGGCTGGCCCTTCCTGGACCTTTTCTGAGGACATTACGCACAACAGCGCTAGGAGGTAGGTTATCATCATCCCCATTTTACAGATGCGTCCAAAGCCCTCTTGCTCTTCACCTTCCTCCCGTATCACCTCTGCATCCCTTAGTTCAGTGTGTATTCGATGAGCACCTACTGTATGCCAGGCACCGTTCAAGGCTCTGGGGACAAAGTAGGGAGCAACTCTTAGAAGGAAGGTGACATTTGAACTGAAGATGAAAAAGAATCCGTCTTGAGAAGGTCTGGAGGAAAAGAGAGGTCTCAGACGTTACCAGGAACCTCCCTACCTTCGCCCCTTTGCCCATTCCCTTCTCTGTGCTGAGAGTGCCTTCCTCCCCTCTGTCCCCCAGACTCCTACCCATCCTTCAAAGCCCGGGAAGGTTTTCCAGACCGATCTCCAGGAAGAGTTCACAGCACCCACCTCTGGGCTTCCACAGCCTGGGGTCCTTCCCTCTATCCCACAAGTGACCAAAAATGGGTGGGAGGTCTCGGTAGGAGTCGGCCCCACCAGAGTGGAAACTCTTCTAGGCCAACGCCCAGGCTGAGTCCTCCCTGGGCCCCCACTTCCAAGATGAGCTGTAGGCATGTTGGGGCTGATTTTTTAAATAAGAAATAAAGAGTAGAAAACTATGACGCATTGATCGGGAAGGGAACTCGAATTAACCGCTCTGAAACTTCCTCAGTCCCGCCTGGGTTCTCCTTCCGTCTCTGGCTCCTCCCCCTTCGGGCCCCGCCCCCAGACTCGTAATAACTTCGTATAGCATACATTATACGAAGTTATACGAAAACAGAAATATTAACTTATATTACCATGATATTTGAATTTGAAAGATGTATAGCTTGGAGAAAGATGTTTTAAAGTTATAAACATTTTCTTACAATAAATTTGCACTAAGTAATCTTGAATTGTCATTAAATACTACTACAACTAATCAGGACATTTTTCACCTGTTTCAGGAGAGAAGCATTTACTAACTTTTCCAAAGTTTCCTAATGAAATACTAGTTTTGACACTTTCACAAGATGTTAGACTGCAAAAGAGTTTCATTTGGGGTTGAATAAAATTAACCAGTTGTGTGTGTATGTTTAAATTTGCATTTTTCTGCTGTAATTCTCAGATTATGATATGCCGGCGTAGTGTTCTCTCTGAGATGGGAATACCTAGTAAGCTTTCCCCAATTAACTGGAGAGAGAAACTCCTGTTTCACAATTTATACTAATTCACCACTGGAGTTCCAAGGCTGTCCATAGCTTCTAAAACATTAAGCAACAGTTTTGTCAAATATCGAAAACAAAAGAAAAGAAAACAAACTTTTGTTTTAGCTCTTCCAATGAAATTACTTTTATTATTCTCAGAAGGTAAGTTTGTTTCATGTCACTGCACTACCTCTTCAAGTCTCTGTGTACTGCCTGCCCTGCCTTTGATCTTTACCACAACTGCAAGAACAAAGTGCGTGCTTTCCCGCTCATTCCCATCGTGGTGGAGCAGACGGTACAGCGGCCGGGCGGGGACACGGCCCGGGGGGCTCAGGGCTGGGGGAGACGGCCGGCCCCCCGACCCCTCACCTACATCTTGCTCCCCCAGGGTCGCGGCGAGCGCGCCTATGACATCTACTCGCGGCTGCTGCGGGAGCGCATCGTGTGCGTCATGGGCCCGGTGAGCGCCACGACCCCATGCGCCCCTCCTTCCCGGACAACCCGGCCCCTCCCCGTTGGTTTTCCTCCCCAGGCTCTGGTTTCGTGTGGACCCCCTCCCCTCCGACCCCCCCTTTGGTCCCCAGCCCCCCATCCTCTCCTGACCCCTTCCTCAAGCCCTCTGGCCCTCTCCTTCCGATCTCTGACCACCTCCCTGACACCTGGCATCCCCCTCCTCATTTCTGGGTTCCAGTCCCTCTCCCCCCACCTTCCTGAGTCTCCACCCTCTCCCCAGCCATTTTGACCCCTTCCCTGCCTGTGTCCTGAACCCCCCGACAATCCCCTTCCTGTGCTCCAAACCCCCTGGATCCCGACCGCAACCCCCATCCCCCATCCCCTCTTAGGTCTTGGATTCTTCCTGGCTCCTCTTCTTTGGGCTCTGACCCCCTCTTCCCGATTCCTTGACCCATCCCCAGACTCCTTCCCCTCCCAACCCCCTTCCGTAAAACTCCCCACCCCAATCTCGGGACACCCCCACCTCCCCATCTGCAGATCGATGACAGTGTTGCCAGCCTTGTGATCGCGCAGCTGCTGTTCCTGCAATCAGAGAGCAACAAGAAGCCCATCCACATGTACATCAACAGCCCTGGTGAGCCCGGCCTTTCCTGGGTGCCAGAGGTGCTCCTCAGGATGCATGGGTTACTCAGGGTACCGAGATCCCCGGTCAGGGATGTCCTCTCTCTGGGGAAAGGGTGCCGAGCTTTCTGCAGAATCCCCAAAGTGTCTTGAAACGCCAGAAGGTGCCTGTTGATTGTGCAAATCAGCGACTGAATACACCCCACAGAAGGTGGCCTTTTTGATCCCACCCAAGTTGGTGTTTTACCAACTTGACCTGGCTGACATTTTAAAATTGGTAGATTTCCCCCCTCCAAAAGAGAGAGTAGCTAGTACTTACTATGTATGCCAGGCATTTTTAAAATCACTGAATACCAGTTTAACTCATTTTGTCCTCATGGCAACCGCACATGGTAGGTACTATTTAGAAATCGCCAGTCTACATTCAGAGACTGTGGCTCAGGGGCTGAGTAACTCGCTCAAGGTCACACAGATGATAAATTGCCCAGCCACCTGGGCCATGCTACCTGATTCTGTCACCTCCTTATCCCCGGAGGCATTTGCATTTGTGACCCCTGCCTTAAAGGGCTGGCATGCCCCTCACTCGTGCCCCTGCCCACAGGTGGTGTGGTGACCGCGGGCTTGGCCATCTATGACACGATGCAGTACATCCTGAACCCCATCTGCACGTGGTGCGTGGGCCAGGCCGCCAGCATGGGCTCCCTGCTTCTCGCCGCTGGCAGCCCGGGCATGCGCCACTCACTCCCCAACTCCCGTATCATGATCCACCAGCCCTCTGGGGGCGCCCGGGTGAGTGCCAGGCCCCACACTGGGGGGTACGCTGCTGTCAGTATGCGGGGTATGTGGGACAGGGTCTAGAAGGATGGACTGACGGGGCAGAAGTCAGGTATGGGTGTCAGTGTTTTAAAATGTAGGTTTGTGTTATTAAATCAGGTATGGTGACTCCAACAGATCAGGAGAAAACTGTCATTGAAAAGATAGCTTAGTCTGGCCAGTTAGCTCAGTTGGTTAGAGTGTGGTGCTAAAACCAAGGTCCAGGGTTTGATCCCTGTACCAGCCAGCCGCCAAAAAGAAAGAAAGAAGGAAAGATAGTTTGTTGCTTAGATCCCAAGAGGAGGGAGCATGCCATGCTATGGGGAGGCCACACAGAGAAGTACAAGGGCTGGTCAGGAGGCAGAGGAAGCTGGGGGAAAATGTGGGCAGGATCCTTTACCGTGGTTTCTACAGGAATATTTAAGCAAGGCAGGGTAAGCAGATTTAGGATTGGCTTGTTCGAATCACTTCATTAGGCTCTGGGGCATAGGGGTCATCCCTGGTTGTCTGGTACCTGGTCCTGGGGTGATTAGTACAGGGGGATAGTGGCCCAGAGTGTGAGACCCCTACAGAGGAGGAGATAGGGGGGTGTGGGCCCTTGATTGGCTGGTTTGCCTATGAAAGGCACACACACAGCAGTTGTTTGCTGTCTCTAAAAATTAGCTAGCTCCGTGAGGGACCGTAACTCCCCAGTCACTGAAGCCCCAGTTGCTGAAAATATAGTTAGCAGAGTCAGGAAATCTTCCTGGTGGCGGCGAGGATAAAGCAGGATGTGGAGGGACTTGCAAAGCCCTGTCCCACCTGCTTTAAAACTAGAAGCCTGAAGCCCGGAGAGGGCTCCATCGTCCCCACCTCCCCTGAGGGGCTGCTACTACTTGTAACCCTCCCCCTCTTACTTCTTACCCTTGGCTTCTCGGGACGTCCCTCAGGGCCAAGCCACAGACATTGCCATCCAGGCAGAGGAGATCATGAAACTCAAGAAACAGCTCTACAACATCTATGCCAAACACACCAAACAGAGCCTGCAGGTGATCGGTGAGTGCCCCCCAGCCCAGGCAGACCCCCAGTTGCTCCCCTTGATTTTATTTAATGCACACAGGTGTGCCAGGCATTGTTCTAAGCCTGGGCTTCCCTACCTTGGTCCTGTGGACATTCAGGGCAGTATCATTTTCTTTTGTGGGGACTGTCCCGTGCACGGGAGGGTGTGTAGCATCATCCTCGGCCTCCACCCGCTCAATGCCAGGAGCTTCCTCCAATTCTGACAACCAAAAATGTCTCCAGGCATCACCAAGTGCCCCCTCCTCCAGTTAAGAACCACTATTATAAGCCCTTTAAAAACATCAACTTATGAGATCCTCACAAAAACTTGATTGAAAAAGGTCAAAAGGTTTGAACAGGGTCTTCAAAAGAGAATATTCCAAATGGCCAATAAGAAAAGATGCTCATGGGCTGGCCTGTGGCTCACTCGGGAGAGTGCGGTGCTGATAACTCCAAGGCCACGGGTTCAGATCCCGTGTAGGGATGGCCGGTTAGCTCACTTTGGAGAGCATGGTGCTGACAACACCAATCAAGGGTTAAGATCCCCTTACCAGTCACCTTTTTAAAAAAAAAAGAAAAGATACTCATTGTCTTTAGGGATGACGTTTAATACTAACATCATTAGTTATTATGGAAAGGCAAATTAAAACCACAACGAAGGGCTGGCTGGATAGTTAAGTGGTTAGAGCGTGGTACTGCTAACAGCCAGGTCCAGGGTTCCATCCTTGTACTGGCCAGCAGCACCCCCCAAAAATAAAAGCTGGAATAAAATAATAAAACCACAGTGAGAGCTGCCCGGTTAGCTCAGTTGGTTAGAGCACGGTGCTGATAACACCAAATCTAGGCTTTGATCCCTACACTAGTCAGCGACCAAAGTAAATAAAGGACGACCGCGGGGAGATACCCTTTCCACCCACTAGAACGGCTAAGACATAAAATACTGACCATATGAGATGCTGATGAGGGTGCAGAGCTGCTGGTCTGATAACACCAAATCTAGGCTTTGATCCCTACACTAGTCAGCGACCAAAGTAAATAAAGGAAGACCGCGGGGAGATACCCTTTCCACCCACTAGAACGGCTAAGACATAAAATACTGACCATATGAGATGCTGATGAGGGTGCAGAGCTGCTGGAACACTTAGCCAGTGCAGGTGGGAGTGAAAATGTACAAACACTTTGGAAAGCTGTTTGGTGCTGTTGGCTAAGGCTAAATGTGCAGAAAAATCTGGGGTTCCCCTGCTCAGTGTATAACCATGAGAACCAAGTACTATTTCCATGAAAGATGTGCACAGCGATACCAATGGTGATCCTGTTCATACGAGCCCCCAGCTGGACCATTGACAGTAGAGGGGGTGCATTCACATGGTGGTTTATTCACACATTGACTTCCACATAGCAAATGTGAGCAAATGATCCACAGTGACACGCAGCCACATGGATGAGTCTCACAAACACAACGCTGGGTGGAAAAAAGAGTGAACACATGATGATTTCATGTATTTAAACGACATCAACAGGCACAGCTAACCTGTGCCACTAGGATAGTGGGTCACTGTTAGGTGTAGGGAGGGAGTGGCGAAGATCAGTGATTGAAATGGATCCCAGCAGCGTTCTGGGGGTGCTGGCGATGCTCCATTTCTCAGTCTGGATGCTGGTCATGTGGATGTGTTCAGTCTGAAAACTTATCACACTGTACATTTATAATTCATGCCCTTTCCTGGAAGTATATTATATGAGGGTACTTCAAAAAGTTCGTGGAAGGCTGGCCTGTGGCTCACTCGGGAGAGTGTGGTGCTGATAACACCAAGGCCACAGGTTCGGATCTCTATATAGGGATGGCCGGTTAGCTCACTTGGGAGAGTGTGGTGCTGACAACACCAAGTCAAGGGTTAAGATCCCCTTACCAGTCATCTTTAAAAAAAAAAAAAAGTTCTTGGAAAAATAGAATTAGAAGATAATATAATCTTTCCATGAACTTTCTGAAGCACCCTCATATATCAATAAAAGTTAAAAAAAAAAATTGAAGTAGGTATTTTACTGATTGGGAAACTGAAGCACGGAGAGGGGAAGGCCAAGGCCACACAGGGAAGAACTGGCACCTTGAGGACCCGTCTGAGCTTGGGCTGCCATAACAAAATACCACAGACTGGGTGGCTTAAACAACAGGAATTTATTTCTCACAGTTCTGGGGGCTGGAAGTCCATGATCAAGGGCCCGCAGGGTTGGTTCCTGGTGAGGGCTCTCTTCCTGGCCTGCAGACAGCCTCCTCCTCGCTGTGTCCTCACGTGGCCTTTCCCCTGCTTCCTCTTACCAGGGCACAAATCCCATCCTGAGGGCCCCGCCCTCATGATGTCATCTAACCCTAATTACCTCCCAAAGGCCCCATCTCCAAATACCATCCCACTGGGGGTTGGGACTTCAACATATGAATTTTGTGGGGGGACCCAACCTGGCCCCGGGTCTCTGCTCTTACCCGCACATGTGCTCCCTCCTTCTTCCCCTGCCAGAGTCGGCCATGGAGAGGGACCGCTACATGAGCCCCATGGAGGCCCAGGAGTTTGGCATCTTGGACAAGGTTCTGGTCCACCCACCCCAGGACGGTGAGGACGAGCCTGAGTTGGTGCAGAAGGAACCTGTGGTGGCAGAAGTGGTGGCAGCAGATCCTGTCCCAGCAAGCACTTGAGAGCCAGCCCTCCTCTCAAGAGGAACATTGAGGGGGTGGGTCAGCCAGGCCCCTCGCTGCTGAGCCTGGAGGAGCCCCTTGAGGAACTCTGGATTTGGGGGATGCCCCTCTGGGCAGGGCAGCCTGGCTGAGACACTGTGATTTTAAATTAAATCTTTGCGGTCTTTGCTCTGTGTGAGGCGACTTCCCTCGCTGTTCCACGATGGCTTCGCCCCTTCTGCTTTTGCTCAGACCTCCAGACCTGGAATATCCCTTCCTTCGGCAAATTCTCCTGAGCATATGCTACATCCTAGCCACTGTTCTAGAGGCTGTGACACACCATGAAGAAAACAGCGAAGTCCTCAAAGAGCTTACGTTCTTGTGTGGGTAGGCCAGAAAAAAGCCCAAGGAGGAGGGATGCACCTGTGTGTGAGAGAGAGTTATAGTTTTGCATGGGGTGGGCAGGGAAGGCTTCCCCGAGAAGGTGACATTGGAGCAAAGACCTGAAGGAGGTAAGGGAGGCAGCCATGTTGGTGTCTTGGGAAAGAGCAGTCCAGAAAGAGGACACAGCCAGTGCAAAGGTCCTGTGGAAGGACTGTGCCTAGTGCTTGGGAGGAACCACAAGGAGGCCAGTGGCTGAGGGACAGTGGAAGAGAGGAGATCAGAAAGTGGAGGTAAGGGCCGGCTGGTTAGCTCAGTTGATTAGAGCTGGTGCTGATAGTGCCAAGGTCAAGGGTTTGGATCCCTGTACCAGCCAGCCACCAAAAAAATGAAAGAAAGAAAAACTGGAGGGGAGCAAGCAGTACAGACCATAAAAGGCTTCACAGGTCTTAGTGGGGAGGGAGGTGAGCTGTGGCGGGTTTTGGGAAGAAGACAAACAGAAGGGTGACCATGGCTTCCAAGGAGTGCTGCAAGGACAGAAGTGAGACCAGTTAGACTGTTGGAATGATCCAGATGAAGACTAGTGGCGGCTTGGGCTAGGTGGCAAGAAGTCAGATTCTCACCAAGTTTTATTTATTTTTATTTTTTAAAAGTTGACTGGTAAGGGGATCTTAACCCTTGACTTGGTGTTGTCAGCACCACACTCTCCCAAGTGAGCAAACCGGCCATCCCTATTAGGGATCCGAACCTGTGGCCTTGGTGTTGTCAGCACCACACTCTCCCGCGTGAGCCATGGGCTGGCCCCTCACCAAGTTTTAAAGACAGGTGGGATGTGAAATTCGAGAGAGAGAGCAGTCTCCAAAACCTCCAAGCTGTTGGCCCAAAGAAGCTAGAAAGATGGAGAGCTGTTACCTTAGATGGGAAGCCAAGGGGAAGGGATCAGGAGTTGGTTTTGGATATGCTGCATCTAATGTTTGTTATGCATCCCAGGGTTTAGGCGATTCTGGGGTGGTTGAAGTAAAAATGTAGGAGACATCAGCATACAGGTGAATTAGCGGTCAGACTGAGACGTGACTCTAGGATTGGTGGCTGTGGATGTCACTGATGGCCTTAAATCAGCGCACTTCTGGTGCTGTGAGGCACACCAGGGATCTCGGGCCCCTGAGTCCTGAATCCTTTCCAACCCTTCTCACTTAGGCTCTGACCCCAATAGGCTGGAGGGGATTCAGAGAATGGGAGGGAAAATATTATCATAGACAAGTTTTTCCAGGAATTTTTCTATAAAGTGGCGCAGAGGACTAGAAGGGGAAATAGGGTCAATCTTGCTAAAATTTAGAGCATTTGGGGACTAGTTTCATAGGTTACGCTTGTTTGAACTTTTCATTATGGATAATTTAAAATATATGCAAAAGTAGAGAAAAAGGATAATAAGCCTCATGTACTTATCACACCGATTCAACACTGATCAATTCACAGACAACTGTGATTCATCCCTACCCGACCCCTCCCTGTCCCCCAAGGCCTGGATTATTTGGAAGCAAGTCCCAGCTGTCGTTTCATCTGTAAATATTTCGGTATGCATTTCTAAAAGATAGAATGAAAAAAACAAATAACAGGGAATCATTAAAAAGGCAATCACACCACCATTTTCAAACCTAAAAAAAATAAAAAAATCCTGAGACGGGCAGATGGATGATGCCCCGCTCTGACCTTTGACCACAACCCCTAACTCTGCCAACTTGACCCCACTCCATAATCATGGCCTTGACGTCAGACCCCTGACCCCTGCACCCTTGACCCCTTCATCTCACTTTGACTATGCCCTTAATCTCTAGCCCATAACCTTGTCCTTGCCCCAAATCTTCCTATAACCCCTGACCTCTGACTCCAGGCCAGACCCTGTCCTCGCCCCCTGCAAGAGGTCCTGCCCACGCAGCTGCTAGGCTGGACCTTTTCGCTTAGCAGGTAAAAGGGGCGTGGCTCGGGCCAGACCTGCAGACGTACTTTCGGCACAGCCAATGGTTTAAGGGCCTGCGGTCAGCGGCGTCCAATAGCGCGTGGGAGAAGGCGGATTCTGGGGTCAGCCAATAGCTTGAGAGGACGAGCCGAGCAGCAGCCAGTAGCCGTGAGCAAGAGGCGGGACTCTGAAGCAAGCCAATCGCTGGAAGGACCTGGCGCAGTCAGCGCCAATGGTTCCGGGGCAGGGGCGTTACCCCGAGCCGGCCGGCCCACCTCCCCGACCCGACCCCGGTGCTATGGCCGGGAGCGGCCGGCTGGCGCTGCGGACGCTGTCCGGGCCGAGCTGGGTGCGGGGCTCGGACCCGGCAGTCCTGAGCCGCCTGCGGGATGCGGCCGTGGTGCGGCCCGGCTTCCTGAGTTCAGCCGAGGAGGAGACGCTGAGCCGCGAGCTGGAGCCCGAGCTGCGCCGCCGCCGCTACGAATACGACCATTGGGACGCTGTGAGGCGCGCGGGGCGGGGTCGCGTCGGGGCGGGGCCTGGGACTTGGGGGGCGGGATCAAGGGAGTCGAGCGCTGGGTGGGGGCCGCGCTGGGGGCGGTAGTTGGGCGTGGTGGGCGTGGTCTGGGGTATTGAGGGCGGGGTCAAGGGAGTCGAGCTCTGGACGGGGCGGGGCCCCGCTGGGGACTGTACGGTGGAGGGGCCTGATGTATTATGGGGCGGGGTCAGTATTTCAAACGTTGGATGGGGCGGGGCTACGCTGGGGGCTGTACCTGGGCGTGGTCTCAGGCATTGGGGGCAGGGTCAGGGGAGTCGAGCGCTAGAGTGAGGCTATGCTGGAGGCGGTACCTCGAACGTGGTGGGGGCGGGGCCTGATGTATTATGGGGTGGGGTCAGTGGCTTCGAACGCTGGATGGGGTGAGGCTAGGCTGGGGGCGGTACCGAGAATTGGTGTGCAGGGGCGGGGCCTGGAACCTGGGCAGTGGGAGGGGGAGGACCTGGGGAATGGGGACATTGCGAGTAGGGAGAACACTTTGGTGATGATGGCAGGGCCATACCTGGAGACAGGGTATGGAACTCAGGGATATTTGGGACCAAGATTAGGGGCAGACACAGGTGTGGAGGGAGCTGAGGGGAGTCAGCGGTTGGGGGCAGGGACAGGGGACTTGGGGGGGGATCAAGTTGTGGACGGAGACAGGTGGAATTGAATAGCTGGAGCCTGGAACCAGGAATTGGAGCCTGAAGTTGAGTATAGAGGACTGAGATCAGACCTAGGTGGGGACTGGGGTTGGGATCCCGGTATGGATTTGAGACCTAGACAGGGCTATGATTTTGGCAGGGGATAGATTAGCGGCAGGAATGTGAGTCAGGGATCATGCTGGGAGAAAACTGTTGCCCTGTACTCTGCCCCTCCTAGCCTCAGTTTCCCTGATTCCCCTCGGTGCTCCCTAGCTTGACCGAGCTCTCTGTGCAGGCCATCCACGGCTTCCGAGAGACAGAGAAGTCACGCTGGTCAGAAGCCAGCCGGGCCATCCTGCAGCGCGTGCAGGCAGCCGCCTTTGGCCCTGACCAGACGCTGCTCTCCCCAGTGCACGTGCTGGACCTAGAACCTCGGGGCTACATCAAGCCCCACGTGGACAGCATTAAGGTGGGCAGAGGCCAGCATCTTGTAGCTCCCAGCCAGAGTGGGCAGGCCAGGCCAGACCCTGACCCACTGCCATGCCTCCTCTCCAGTTCTGCGGAGCCACCATTGCTGGCCTGTCCCTCCTGTCTCCCAGCGTCATGAGGCTGGTGCACACCCAGCAGCCAGGGGAGTGGCTGGAACTCCTGCTGGAGCCAGGATCCCTCTACATCCTCAGGTATCCCCAAGCCGAGGAGCCCCCACCCCACCAGTAATGCGCCAGATGCCCATCAGTGCTTGAACACCTTTGGAAGGTGCAGGGGGCAACAGAGGAACTGGAACCCAGCTCTGCTTGGAACAGGGCCTGCCCTCACCCCATCCAGTCACAGCCTGTTTTCTCTTGCAGGGGTTCGGCCCGTTATGACTTCTCCCATGAGATCCTTCGGGACGAAGAGTCTTTTTTTGGAGAGCGACGGATTCCCCGGGGTCGACGCATCTCTGTGATCTGCCGCTCCCTCCCTGAGGGTATAGGGTCAGGGGAGCCTGGACAGCCACCCCCAGCCTGCTGAGCCCCAGGCCCATCCCCCAGCTTCTTACAGACCCCGGATTTGTGAATACAGTCAGAATGGACAATCCTGGTGGCAGTCAAGGCCAGGAAAGCAGTTTCCTTTATTGTGATCATTGCTGGAGGCCTCAGCCCACCTCCCCTTCTCATTTTCTCAGCACCCAGGTCTCTAATAAATAAGACAGCTGAGCTCCTCCAGCGCTACAGCTCCGGGGCACCCTCAGCCGCCACAGCCGCAGGCAGCCGCTGAGAGCTGGGGCAGCCGCTGCCAGCGGTGGTGGTCATCGAGGAAGGCCACGTCGGCATAGCGGGTGGGCTGGCAACAGGGCCTGCCGTGGGCTCGGCCCTGACCCCGCAGCCAGGCCAGTGTCAGGCCGTGCTGGGTACGGGCTCCACGGGGACAGCTGCCAGCGCAGTAGCGAAAGATGACCTTTTCCTCCGAGGCATAGCCCAGGCCCAGCTCTGCCACAGGCAGGGTAAGGCTCCACAGCTGGCATGGGCTGGCCAGGGCTCGGCGCAGGCGGGCTCGGGGGTGGTGGGCACCTGGGGGAGAGAAGGGGCACTGACAACAGGTGGGATCTGGGCAGGGAGGAGTTGGGAACTCACACGGTGGCCCTGGGTATCCTTACCCAGCTGTGTCCTCCAGGTCCCTCTGGTCTCTGTTGCCTGCTCAGATGAGTAGTCTCCCTCTGCCACTGGAGCCCCCTGAGCAACAGGGCCCCAGTGCAGGCCCAGCGGCAGCAACAGGAGCAGCAGAGAGCTGAGCAGGACTCTCCCTGCAGCCATTGCCATGGGCAGGTCCTTAGAGTGGGGGAGCCCCATGTCTGCATTTATCCCCACCTGGGCTGGGTAACTAACCTCTTCACTGCTGGCGGCCATGGCCAGGAGGAGGCCCATGCCCCACGCCAGCGTGTCTCCCATGTCCGCTGGTCTAGGCCTCTGGCTCCTTCTGCCCAACACCTGTCCTTCTAAGAGTTAAGGACCCACCCCCCATCTCATCCCACCCCAACATTCCACAGACACATTTCCGACGCCCCTAAGCCCCCTGATTTACGAGTGCTGTGCCGGCAGCCAGGGCCAAGCCCAGAGTGGGCAACTGATGTCCCCACCCCGCCTGCTGTCTGGAGGGGGAGGCAGGGGGCATTGTGTTTCCCCTGGTGGGATCCCTCCCCACCAAGGCAGGGTGCTGTGGCTCAGGAGCCCCAATGTCATGTGTCAGGTGGGGCAGGGGTGGCTTGGCAGGTGGGTGAGGCGATGGGGAATCTGTCATGGCTCCTGCCAGAAGGATTAAAACATCATGCCTTTGTCTCTGGGCCTGGCTGAGACAACATCAAAACAGGAAAAGGGAGAGGCCTGGGGACAGCCAAAGGCTGGGACCCAAAGGGGGCAGGGACTCCCAAAGGCTGGAGGGCCAGCCTGAGAACTCAAGACTTCAGCCCCATCTTGGCATCCAAGAGCATCAGGGCTTGGGGGAGGTTCAGACCTTTTGGGTCCCAGTAACTACCAGCATGACATGGGTTCTGGTAGCTTCGACCAGTCCCATGTGACCCCAGGGAAGTGAGCATTTAGTGTTTACTGCTGTGCCCAGCACTGAAGAGCTTCCAAGAGCTTGAGACAAAGGAAATACAAATAGCTTATGTGCTATTTATTTGTTTAAAGAGAAGTTTGATCCCACACAGAGAGCACATTAAACTCAGAGGAGACTCTGAACCCCACAAGATTAGTGAAAATCAGGAAGTTTGGTTACACACTGCTGTGCGTGTGTAACACAGGCAGGCACACCCCTCTGCTGCTGGCAGGAGTGCAAATTGGTAGAAGCTCTTTGGATGAGCAGTTGAACAGCTGCTACTGAAATTGCAAATTACATCCCTTTGCCCCAAGAAAGCTGCTTGAGGAATTCATGCCACACAGTCAAGTGAAGAAGCAAGCGCTGGGATATCCACTGCCTTTTTGTTTGTATTACTGGAAACGTCAACTCCACCCACAGGGCATCGGTACAGTGGTCTTATGGTGGTTATTTGCAGTATTCATTTAGATTACTTTCAGACCAAAGGAAAAAAAGTCACTGGCCCAAAGTCATCCAGAATTCAGAAACAAGCCTGGGATTTGAGCCCAGATCACCCTGAACACAAGGCCCCTACTCCTAACCACTAGGCAGCACTGCCTAGCCTAATGGAAGGGCAGGCCTTAGACCAAGGTCCACGTGGCAGGGACAGCATGGGTGAGCCCACCAGGGCAAGGGGTGAGAATCACTGTCCTGCTGCCCAAAAAGGCCTGGTGGGAGGACAGGGAGGGATGTTGGACCAACCTGAGACATTCCTAGGAATTAGCCTGACATCTCAGGCATTCCTGCATGGCAGCCAAGGGCCTGCAGGACTGGGTGGGGAAGTTTTCCACCTTCAGTTCCCAGCCACAGGCAAGACAGAAGCCCAACATCCGGTCCCCAGACAGACCACTCAGAACACGAGTTCAAAAGTACTGGCCAAATGCTGTTTCTTGCCATGTTACTACCCAGAAACAAAAAGCCCTCCCCTGGGATGCTGGATAAGATATATGCACAACCAAGCCTGTAACAAAACAAGGGAGGAAACCCCAAAAACATCACTGGGAAACTGAGAAATACGGCCCCCATGCAAACACCAGCAACAAGCGGGTTTGGGCTTTGGTGGCCATGTAGGGATGGTACCCAAGCTGAGGACCGTGCATAAAATGGGGCTCAGCTGGCACTCCTGGTGGAAGCGAAAGCAAAACCATCTAGAAGGACTTGCCTGCAAAGTACCCGAGTGCTGTTGGTTGAACCGTGTCCCCTCAAAGGTTCATGTATTAATCACTGTGACAGTGTTGAGGGTGGGAAATCCTATTATGGTAATTGAAAGATGGTACCTTCAAGAGGTGATTAGACTGTGAGGACCATGCCCTAGGGAATGGATTGATCTATTTATGGAGTAATAAGTTGATAGTTTAATGAGTGGTAACAGGTGTGGTTCTGATGGCTTCATGAGGACAGCGAGTGAGCATGTTAGCTCTCTTGCTCAGCCCTGTCGCCATGCGATACCCTGCATCCCTGTGGAGAGTCACCATCATTTCTGGAGGGCCTCACCAGATGTGTTCCCTGGACTTTGGACTTCTCAGCCTCTGAAACTGTTAGAAATAAATTCTATTTCTTTATAAATTACTCAGTTTCAGGTATTCCATTATAAGCAATAGAAATGAACTGACACACCAGGATTCCCACTAATAAAGAGCCCCCTGGCTGATGATGGGTATCCCATACAAACTTATGAAACAAGAAAATAACCTATCAGGAAGGGGAGTCAGAAGATACAACAGAATGCTCGTGAACTTCAGAATCTAGATGTGTCTGACAGACAATAAGGATGCTAAAAAAAAAATGAAAGGAGGGATCAAAAATTTAAGGAACAAAACGCTATCCAAACAGAGCAGTTGATTTGAAAAAGAAACAAAGATAAGTTTGAAAAATTGAAAATGGAGTCACAAGCGCCGAGCCCGTGGCGCACTCCTGAGAATGCGGCGCTGGGAGTGCAGCAGCGCTCCCGCCGCGGGTTCGGATCCTATATAGGGATGACCGGTGCGCTCACAGCGCTCACTAGCTGAGCACGGTGCGGCCAGTCTCAAAAAGGACAAAAAAAAAAAAAAAAAAAGAAAAAGAAAATGGAGTCACTGAAACCATTTACTGGGTTACAAGGTAAATAAGCAAATGCTAAAGAGAGAATTAGTGAAGGGGAAGGCAGAGCTGCAGTTACCCAGTGGTTGGGCTCACCAATTAGCTCAGCTGGGTAGAGCCTAGTGATAACACCACCAAGGTCAACGGTTCGGATCCCCGCACCAGAGAGCCACCAAAAAGAAAAAAAGGCTACCCAGTGGCAGCACAGAGGCACGCTCAGTGTGCAGGGATGAGCCGTGAGGAGAATGAGATGATCTAACAGGCGTCTAAAGGTTCCAGAAGGAGGAGCTGGGGAGAAGCAAATGGAGGAGGGAACTGCTCAGGCTCTTCCAGAATTGGTAGCACCAAGGTCCCAGGCTCAGGGAGCAGAACCACAGATAGGCAGTGGACGCGCACGCGGGTTCGGTGAGCACGCGGAACGTGGCAGTCTGAGAAGTTCTGGAGAGCAGAGCCTATTTATTGGGAGGGCAGTGGCAGCAGGCTGTCACTCCTTCAGGGAGAAGTGCATCTTGTCGTTGATCATCTTGCGCTCCGGGTTGAGGCGCTTGAGGATCTGCGCCAGCACATTCACTGTCTGCTCGCTGCTCAGCCCCGTCTTCTTGGTCTGGAACTTTTTCAGCAGGTCCTTGGTGGTCATGGGCTTTCGCGTCAGGTAGCGGCGCACAGCGTCCTCAGTCACCTGCACGTCACTGCGGGGCAGAGGGTGGGGGAGGCAGCCATCAGCGAGTCTCCCCTGCTGCCCTCACTCTGGCCCTGCCATGCTCGCCAACTTACCCGCTGCTGGGCGTCGACTTCCCCGACGGCGGCTGGGGGGTCGACTTCCCGGACAGGCTCTGGGGCCCGGGATCCAGCCGTAAGCGCTTGGCGGCCGGCGGCTCGCTCGTCCGCTTCCCTGTTAGAGCAGAGTCAGGGCTGAGTCTTGGGGATGGGAGGCTGGACCCCTGGGCAGGACCCCCGGGCCTGGCAGCGCCAGGATTATGGGTCCAGGGGGCTCAGGGAGAGACGGGCATCCATCCCTGACTCTCCATCGCCGCTCTGGTGTCGGATCCGAGCACAGAGGCCAGGAGGCCGCGGCCGAGCAGCGGGACACCGGGTGCTCACCTTGCTCTAGTTTGGTGGCGGCAGCCCGCAGGGTGGAGGACGTGCTGCTGCTCTCGGCGCTGGGCGTGCCAGGGCGGCTGTTGCCCCGCGAGCTGCCTCCGGACGGCTTCCGCTCCCTCTTGGGGGGCGTCTTCTTCTTCTGCAGGTGTCCGAGTTGGGATTGGGGACATGAGTCTAGAAACAGAGGCCCCCGCCCCCACCCGCGGCCCCATCCGCCCCCGCCCGGCCTGCC